TCTTCTTGCATCTTCCATACGAAGTCAAAGAAAAATGTATTTCAGATGTGCCCTACGCACATTCTCACGAGTTTGACAAGCTTTTTTGTAGAATGTGGGTGAATCTCCTCTTTCTGACCTCATCCAAACTCACCCACACAAAAATCAGTTTTTTCAGTGTAGAAACTCTCAGTTACAGCTGATAGTTTGATGTAAAAATCCTTACAAGCATTTGTCTCATTACCATTTTGATGTAGATAAACATATATGACAAGTTAATCTAAGAAGACAATGAATTTATAAACTGTTCATTGATTGAAATATATAATTTTGTAGAATGCATCAATCTAGTCCAATGTTATTTTCCTATCGTACTAATCTCCAATAACTAATTTCATCTTATATTTCATTGAGAAGAATTTTTTTCATAACAGCTTTATGTGTTTTTTTATCTGAATAGATTTAATACAAAATTTATCGTTTCAATGGAATAATATTCATCATATTAGATGATTATGATTTTAATTTTGTAACACTCTTTATATTCCTAAAGGTATTTATATTGACAATCTTATGTTTGAAAAGTTTCCTGTTTTGAAATTTTGTTGTCTCATATCCTACTTTCTTGGATATATTTTTCGACGATTTTTGCAGCTTTAATTAAAATTATCGTAGTGTTCTTTTTAAAATTCAATAGAAGATGCTAGATAAATGAATATTATTCCATTGAAATGATAAGTCTCCTATAAAACACTTGCAGAGGTGAAACACATACTGATGTTATGAAAAAGAATTTTTCTCAAAAATATAAAATGAAATTATTCACTCACAATTGATAACATGAATGCAATAGAGAAAAAGATATCTTTTGTAGAACTTTAAAAGATCTATGAAAAAAGAAATAGAGGAGGCAGATCAAACAAATTGATTCAGTCATCTATAGATAATCAGATCAAAGTGAAAGTTTTGTAAATCTCCTAACTTTCTTCTCAACTGATGATATACTTCGAAAATATTGATACAGGGTGTCTCATAAGTTGTGGCAGATTTTTTTAAATCTAATTGTTGATGATAATGAATACAAATTAAACTCAAACTTATACATATGACACGGCTTAGCATGTACTTTTATTTCATATATTTTATTTGGATTAGATCATTGAATATACAAGAAAATAAACAAATTCAATGAACATACCCTCCATTGACAAATATCAAAAGTCTGCATTTTTTCGCTACTTTGTTAGTTTTTTCTCCAATTACTATTCCTATGGGAGTAAGTTTTTACAAAAGAAATCACACATTCTGATAGCACTTGAAATGCTCTATGATATTATGTATTAATACAGTGTCTTAAATTTAAGTAGCGAAAAAAAATGCAAATTTTTTGGGCTAGTCGATTCGGAGTATATTCATTGTATTCAATTTTATTTCAATCTATAAACGCAAGAAAATAAGTAAATAGACAGGGTGATAGAGAATTTTAAGCTCTATCAGAATCTATAGTTACTTTTTCATACAGATCATTCTATACGGATGAAAAATTTTTAAAACTAGTTTTGATGACGAAGGAAAGATCAAGTCTGGGAATCTGGACATGAGGGTGCCTTCGTTGTCTTCAATTTATTTTGGTAATGAAAAGGTCAAAACTAAAACCTAATTCTACAGAATGATAGAAAACTCCGCGAGCTTTCAGAATATGTAATTAGTTTTAAAATAACTTATTTTTATAGTGACAATATATGAGAAATACAGAGTGAAACTTTTGTCGGGGTATATATATTGTAACACATTGATGGTGTGCTTATTTTGCACATGTACCAATTTCTTCATTTTTTTGTATATCCAATGATTAAATTCAAATAAAATATATGAAATAAAAGTACATGTTAAGTTGTATGATACGTGTAAGTTTGAGTTTGATTTGTATTCATTATCATCAAAAATTAGATTTAAAAAAATCTGCCACAACTTATGAGACACCCTGTATCAAATGCTATCAAAATTTGATGCTTTTCTTTAACCAAAAAGTAATTGACTAAAGGCAATAGTTCCTTGAAAAGAGCAACAACAATTATATTCGATATGAAAAGAAAAAGGCATGCGTAGTCTGTGGAACCATGAGTCTTCTTTAAAAAGACAACAGTTGACGAAATTAACTTTATCATTCACTGGACTGATCTCAATGCATGAGGAAACAGTAGTTAAGAAAAAACACATTTTTTTTATGAGCGCATAAGTAAATTTATAAAAATCATGACTTTTCAGAAGAATTTGAATAGTTTGTTCAAAATTTTTATTGATAAATTTACTAACAATCAAAAAATTGATGTATAAATACTACATTGTATGGAAATAACTATTAAGGCTAATGATTCAAATGTTTCTCTGACTAGCGAATACTTGAGTAGGAGTTAACAGACATGTTTTTTTTTGTTTTTGTTTTCAATGCATAGTTTTTAAAATACTTGCAAAGTTCTCTTTTTCTTTTGAATAACTTTTGAAAAATTTATATTCCAAATATCCAAACACAAAGATTGCTTTTTTTTGGCAAAAAATGTAAGAGTTTCTTAAGGTTAATTAACGAATAGAGTGAATATTTGTGATACAAGTCAATTCCAATTTTATCTGAATTTTCAATTATTCAAGAGAAATATATTTATTTAAGATTAGAAGACTTAACTGATAATATCTCAGAGTTTTTGAATTTCGTCGATAGCGAATGCCTGAGAAAGAATGTCTTTGCAATAGTTCAAGAAATGTCATGTTGGAGAAAATCAGGTAATCTTATATTACAATAAAATCGAATGATTGAGTTTATGATCCTGATGATTCTTAAAAGTAGATATCAATGACAATTATTAGCTAGAAAAATGTGAATAAGATTGATTGATCTATTCAGAAGAGACAGACAATAAACTGTAACTGTGGAAAAATATTTTCTTAGTCTAGAATATTTGCAACGACTTGCTTGTTGAAACAAAACGCAAACTAAATTGATAATTGTACCAAAATCAAAAAAAAAGAAACACTTCTTCAGAAGAAAAAGTGAAGAATACAACGAATTCCTAGACAATAGAATGTATGGCTTTGTAGATGAACCGAAAATTCACACCTTATTGCATATATTTCTGTTTAAATTAAATTTTATGAGAAAACAATTTTTTATTTTGTATCGTCACATTATGCAAAGTTTAGTGTGTCAACAACAAAAAAAATATTTGAAATAAAGTTAAATAAGTTAGAACACAAAATTTAAATCACGAAAGTAGATTGTGAGAAAAAAAGTTTTGAAGCTAATCGTCTCTCCTATTCTCAGTAACGAAAATAGAACAGGATTCAACATCATACTATTCATTGAAACAACGACTTCTTCCATAAACAGATATTAGTAATTTTGAAAAAATGAATAAATATAGATAAGCATATGAAAAAAAAATGATTAGCTAAGATATAATCATTTTTGTAAAGTTGTGATGTTATATGTGATTATCAAACGATGTTCGATGGAATATTTTGCAAAGCGATCAATTTACATTTTGTAAACATTTACCAATAATCCAGAAATAAATTTTAAAAAAGTTAAATAAATTTCAAATAAAATCTAATGCTTTTCATTAAAAAAATTCTCAGAAATTTATAATCTAAAATAATTTTACAGGATAATACCGCGCTTGTCAGGCATCGAACTGAACTCGAACCTGTGGAAGTTGATTTGATTCCTTTTCTGATAGTTATCGTTAAATACTGTCAATGCTGAATTGCTTTTTACATTAAAATATTCAATTTTTTTCTTTATTATGAAATTTTTTTGTATTGATAATAAAATAATAAAAAATACGAATAATAAATCAAGAAAAAAGAATTATTATTTGAATAAAAAGAAACAATGGTGTAGTGCGAGACTTTTTGAATTTATCATTTTCAATGGATTTTCAGAAAACAGTTCAATAGGATGAAGTATGGTAGCTGCTTTTACATATAATCTACTAAACCAAAACGATTCAAAGATTGTAGATGTGGTTAAACAGAATATCAACATCTATACTCACATTCTTCTTGATATTATTAAAAGTACTGGTTATAAATGCAAGTTTTAATCCAGATTTGTGCAACTTTTTCTTAAACTCTAACGACATGGTTTAGAAAAAGTCTTCGTTAAAACTTCAATGGCTAAAATATGTTTAATGGATACATGTAATCGACTTATTTACTAGTTAAATCAATGATTGAAATCATAATAAAACATATGATATGAAATATAGATCAATAAGCCAAACAGAAATTAGAGCACAAAATAAATGACAATCTATTCTGATTGATTTAGAAAATTTAGATATGATTGTTATAATAGAGACAGATTCTAGTAAAAAGAAAAAAAGTAGATAAATTAATTCTTGTTGCTAAGTTTCCATTTTATGAATTGATACTTTTAGTCTTTATTGAGGATGTGGGTATGGATCACAAAGAGAGCAAGTATATGATTCATCAACATATCCAAACAACATCTACATCCACACCGTATTTTGAATGTGTTCAAGTAAATCAGCATATAATTTTTCTGGATTCGATTTATGTGTGAATGCTTGTTCAAATTGACGTCATTGTTCAATATTCGTTAACTAAAATAAATAAAATAGATTTTGTTTTTTTTATTGATATAATTGATATTTGCAGGTTTTCCTTTAATATACCTGCAGATACTATTTTCGATCAGCAATAAGAAATAAACGATTGTCTGATTCTTCAAAACAAGCACGGAAACGTGATAACATCAATAAAAACCTAAAAAAAGTAAAAGATATACTACACTATCTATGAAAATTCATTTTGACATTTCATGACGAAATTTATTGATTTTGTATTGATCGTCATTCCTTCGGATTGCAATAAAGAGTTTTTGTTTTTCATTAATATTTTACTATTTATCTTTTCCAAATAAATTTTAATTGTATGTGTAGGTCTGAATAATTTTTATAAATAAAACTAGGAAGAATATTTAACCATAGGCAGAATTTTACTCATAAGATGGTGTGAGTGTGGATATCATTATAGGTCTTGTCTTCATCCACAGCCACACCCTGTGATAGACATGCACTTAACATAAGACAAGTTAACTCCCATATAGCCATACATAGTGATTTTCTTTGTGCAATATTTGTCATTGATAATAAAGTCCATTCATTAACTTTAGCTGAATAACGTGCATTAATTAAAGCCCGAAAAAAAAAACTAATGTGTGCAAGTAATAATGATAAAGGACGTAATAAAAGTAAAGCTTCATATGGTAATGTTGATGATTGCTTTGTACGTGTATATAATTCTTCAACAAGTTCAATAAGAATATTATCTGATGATGATATTATTGATGAACTAGCAATTATTGTTTGTTCTTTATTAACATGTTCATTATTTAATGAATTTGTATTTTTATTTGGTCATTGTAATAATGTATAAATACGTATTAACACCATATATCATTTTTAGGATATTGACCAACTATTAAAAGTTTTGCAAGACTAATTGATATAATTTTTTGTGTTAAATTATCATCATTAATTAATGATAATCAAATATCATATGAATTTAAATCAACTTCATGACTTTCAAGTAAAAATAAACATGATGTATATGTATGAGTTTTAGTTATTAATTTATGATTACGTTCAATTAAATTCATATATATAATTCATTATATTCTTTTGTTCTTTGTTCAATTAATATACTAGATTTACATAAATTATAACTTATTAAGGATATTATTAAATCATCTTCATCAAACCATGTACAAATAAATCAGATAGATATATAATTGAACCTATTAATTTATATTACATAAATTTCAATTAGAATTTGTAATGATAATGTTAAATCAAGACCATGATGAAAAAATAAGCGATCAAATAAACTCTAAATTATATATTTTTAAAGGTAGATGCTAGCAAAGAAAATATTCATACTCGAACTTTCTGATTGATAGAATATATTTGAAATTATTGATATAAGCTTTTATCTCTATGAAATAAGATAGTTTGCATGTATTATATATCAAATCAAAGTCAGAGAAACACTAGATTTTCTCTTTGATGAAATTAATAATTTAGCAATGAATTTATCTTTCTTTTAACTTAGAGTTCTATTTGTCGATTATTAAAACATATATGAGACTTACATTAACTGATAATGGTAATGTATTATTACTTTGGATTGATGTTAATATAGTATCATATGAAAGTTGTCCATAGAATAATAAATCACGTGTACCTAATCGTTCAATATTTGTAAATAAATTATTTGAACTTGTATCTAATGTTGAACGTGTTTGCATATATTGACCATCGATAAAAAAATAAAACAGATAAAATCTAGTTTATTTTTCAATCTTGTTACCATTGTGTTGCATTTGTTTCTAAAGTTTCTTCTTTCTTTTTTTAAAATTATTTGTTGTTTGTTTATTTTCATCATTAGATTGATTTGTGGTGAATTAATTGAAGCTAAAAATGAAGCCTATATTTCTTGAAATTATATTCTTAATAATCAACCAACTCCAAAATTGTCTTTATATAAATATTGGTAAACAAAATAATAATATAGCTATACAATGTAAATCATGTCAATAAATATATGATATATACGTGTATATTTAATTTTTCTTTTTGTTAAATAATAAAGATGATCTTTTATCTGGTTCAATTAAATTAAAATATGATTATAATATATTTGATATAGTTAAACCATGTCGTTGATAAAGATATTCAAATATTGATAATAGTATTTTCGATAATGTACAACATGATATTATTTGATCTGTTTCACAACTAAGAAATGATGTTTTCTTTTTGAAATATATTTATATAAATTATTTCTGATATAAATATTATAAAACGTAATAAATCATGTATATCACCTGTTGAAAATTGACATATTAATTCAACATGATTTTGTATTTTATCAAAATATATTAATAGAGAATCTATGAATACAATTGTATATGGTTGATTATTAGAAGCATGATAAAAGACTTTTTTCATAAATTGTATTAGGTGTTGTTTCAATGTCATTTTAATTTGTTTCATTTGATATAACTATACAAAATTCTAGGAAAACAAACAAAGAACAGATTTATATTGTTTCTTATTTTCTCAAATCAATTTTCATTTACTATAAGAATCATCCTAAAAATTTAATGCTGTGAAAAAAATCAAATACGTTTTCGGAGTTCACGAGTTCAAACTTATAGAAAGTTTATCGAAATTCTCGAATGCAATTTATTTCGAAATATAATATTAGAAAGACGTCGTTTTCTTTAATTGTAATAGTACAAATAGCACGACTGAGAATTTGATCAATAAGATTCGAGAGGAATTATTCGGTCATTGTACTAATGTAGCTTAAATGCTTTCTTTTACGATTTGTATTACCTGAAATTCTGCATATTTTCTATTTCAAAATATTTTTCGAAATTTTGAATTATTCAAAAGTCTCATCTATTACTAGCACATAAACAATGTCAAAGTAAAAACAAAAAAATTTCTTTTAATTGGATTAAAATTTTTATTATACATATATATATTTATTTATTTCGATAAATTAAACTAAAATATACCGGTGACATCATAAATGGTAATCATTTTTTATAAGTTACATTTTTAAGCATTTGTTCATAAATTTTTCTTGTTATACCTATAGGATAATTCAGATTATTAAAATCTTCTTTAATAATATCAATTGATGTTGTTACTGATAATATTTCTAAAATTTATGGTATATATTTAGGTCATAATTGTTTATTTAATGGTAATGGAAGGAATTGTTCAACTAATAAAACTAATAGAAGACCACTTTCATATAAATGTATTCTTTCACAAAAAAATAAATGACTTGCAACTGATGTATGATGTATAAGATAAAATAAAAAATAATAATAATAATTGATAATGTGTTGTTATTGATGTAAAAAGTTCAACATATAATTTATGATGATATATTAAATCACAATAAGATTGTAATTGACCACTTATTAGATAAATGTATTCTTGATGATGATGGTGTTAATGTCGGTGACCAGCATGCTTCTTGTGTATAATCAAGCATATTCAGAATATGTATCCATTGTAATAATAATGAGATATAAAATGATGATCATAATAATTTAAAACATTCATTTAAAATAGTTAAATATGAAAATGTATCAAGACGATGTACAGTTTCATCATAAATTCATAATTGATGAAAATCATTTACAATTGTTCGAAATTGTTTAACTAAAATAAAATCATAGAACTTATATAAGCATAGGAATTTTAAAGTCAAACGTATTTCGCTAGCTCATTAATAATTAATGAATTGCAGGAAAGTTTTATCTTCAAATTAATGGGTGATATGTACATAAAGATAATCGGATGCAAGAGAAACTAATGTCATATTGATTTGACCACATAATTGTCGAGTATTAGTTAAAATTCATAATATTATGTCATGTAAAACATGAAGAAGAGTTCTGAAAACAAAAACGAGAATAATAGTTTTTAAATTATAAATAAAATCATTTCGAATACTTACGCACAATAAGTTTCATCTCATGTTCCATTAACTGATAATAAACCATCATTCTATCGTGTTAATATAGCATCTTCAGTTAAATTTTGTACAAGATATCGAAGTATTATATTTATATTGATTAATTATCGATTTGTAGATTGATAATTGACATTCTAAAAGAAATTTTGAACTACAGGAAAATTTTATAAATAAAAACAACGAACATTTCTATTTACTAATGCTCGAAAAGCAATAACAAATGGATCAATTGATCATAATGCAACTGATGAGACAACATCAAATAGTGTTAATTGTGTGGAATAAATATCCAAAAGTGAT